ACTTGTCCAAAAACGATGTTTAAAAATAGTTTACGCAGAGTTGTTTTATACCTTGTTAGTTTTATTGTAATTGGATACATTCCCTTATTAATTTAGTATTTCCTGTGTTTTAGTTTGCAACATGCAGTGCCCTGCTCCAGTGGTATAGTTGGATTCAATTCAGTCATCATCTACTATTGACTGCAAGTTTCAATTTCTGATAAACTATTAAAATTAGAAAAACTTACTCGATATGTGTACTTCAGACCACCGTTGTCCGCTATGTTTTCAGATAATGTCTTCACCCCGTCCAACTAAATCAAAATACCAAACAAAAATTGTAGAAGAAAATATATATATATATATATATATATATATATATATATATATATATATATATATATATATATATAAAAGAACCTTCTCCTTTACACTGTCAAAGTACACCCTGAAGATAACACTGTTAATTTTCCTAGTCAATCTAGACATAATCCTATATCTGAATTAACTTAACATTCCTGTTTATTTCATCTCACTTCCTACCAGGACTCTCTTATTTATCCACCTAGTCTGGTTAATTTAACCACGGCGTCCTGGTAAAAATAGTAGGAGGTGAGACAAAATAACCAGGAAATTTAACTATAGGTCTATGAAATCAACCCAAATATGGGCCATTTCTAAGTTTGTTATTAGCTAGCCTACATGGCAGGCTTGCCCGATTTTAGGGACCACCTGCCATGCAGGCTAATTATTAGCATGACAAAATTACTGGATGCTGATTGGTTGAGAGGAGTACAATTACTTCATTACTTGTACTGCAGTACAATTAATGATTTTCCAAAAACAAACAAAATGGCGGAAAGGTATTTTAAACACAAATGTGAAATGGAATTGAGCAAGAGGAACTATAGATAACTAAATGAAAATACGAACAAAAGCACCAAATTTTGGTTGAAAGTCTGGCAGGACTGGGCTTTCGCGAGATAATATGATGTTGACATTGTCATTGATAAGTATCCAATTTTGTCATGCTAATAATAAACAAGTAGTCATGCAATGTTGCTCCTACAATTAGGGATTAATGGCACTCGTGATGTTTGGAAACTTGCCAAATTGGACTCGCCCCGGCTGGTCCAATTTTGGCAAAATTTCCAAACATCACTCGTACTATTAATCCCTAATTGTAGGAGCAACATCGCATGATTATCTATACTAACCATGGAAATTTTAACCAGGGTGTTTTTAAGGTGTACAGTTTGATCGAAGTATGTGAAGTGTAAACCTATATCTCAAATCATTTTAATAATGCATGAGTAAATTAGCCAGCCATATTGCTTTATTTTGCTCACATGATAATACTGGATACCTGGTGAAATATATTCATCCAGGTCTAGCAAATGGATCAAAATTAATTCACCTCACTTTAAGTAGTGATATATTCGTATGAGATGTCATTTCAAATCCTCCAATTCGGCTTCGCCTCGGACTTGATCAAATTGCGCGGACTTGAAATCTAGTCCAGTCCTCATGGTCGTACTTGAAATATTACTTCAAAATTTGTTTACGCTATCAAACTTTCTTTGAACAAGGTAAAATTACTCAAAAATGCGTCACGAATAAAGCTCCTTAACAGCCATGCGAAAATGGTACTAGCAATTGTCAGTTTAGAACCTATTGACAAGAAAATTAATATGAAAATAAATTCACATGTAAAACATTGTGTGGAACTAGAAAATGGCACATATCACAATAGGTGGACTTCATGACTTAGATTCTTGCACTTCACTTGGTGGAATTAATATTAGAATGTTAGGGTTTGGAATCCAAGTGAGAATATATACATTTTAAGACCTAACCAGGAACGACTGCGAAAATGCAGCACAAGGTCCTCTGGTAGGAATTGAACCTAGGGCCCTGCGATTCCAGTACAGCGCTCTAACCAACTGAGCTACAGAGGCCAGCTGTTAAGCTGTAACCGTAAGTTCATGTATATATAGGTAATCGGGTGTGCGGGTTATGATAAGGTGGACTTCATGACGTAGATTCTTGATGGCGGAAAATACTATATAATACTATTTGATATGTGAAATTTAGAATTTTCACAGATGAAATTTATGTTTCACAAATGTTTCCACATGTGAAAATAGAGGTTAATATGTGAGAATTAATTTTACATGTGAAATTACTATTTCGTATGTGAAATTGGAACGTCTCAGATGTCAAAGGAACTTTCGCATGTGAAGTAATATTTCAACTCCGACTATGAGGACTGTAGGTCGTTTGCTGCGTCCCGTTATCGTTCACTTTCATTGAGCATGTCTTGGAACTGAAATATTTTTTATGGGAACTAACACTTTCGAACACGTTGAGTTCAAATCCGAAAACTTCCCGCACCGTAGACAGGCAGTTTTCTCACAAACTGCTATTTTATTTTCGCTAATTTTACAACAAATCTTTTCATTGTTCAACGACACGGATCGATGACGACACACGATTATATCACTCAAAACGACCAGTTTCAATTAACCAGTCTTCCTTTTAACAAAAGACTGTTTTGCTCGAATCATTTTGAGTTATGTAATCTTATGCGTGCATGTTGGACATAAACAACATATCTTGTCTACAACTTTGAGAAAGTACAGATAACGCCTTCTAAAATCCTCAGTTCTAGCGATATCTCTGTAAAATCACAAGGAAATAATGCTAAGTCTTTTGGCTATGTCACTGGCCTGAAAAAATAATTATTTTAACGCGATCAAGGTAACGAAGCCAACATAACGGCTAAGAGAATGCTAAAATGAAATATTGTCGATTGTTTGCTGGTAGAAGACTGACGACAGGATCAATCTTAAATAACCTTAAACTAGAAGAATAAATGCTCACATCAAAGACAAAGATTAGTGCCAAAGTATAAAATCTGCTCTGTAAACTTACGACGAAGTGCAGAAATGTGTGCATAAGCTGTTTATTTGGTGATTTTAACGTATATGGCAGCCCTCTTTCCAATAATATTCGCTTATCGCACAGAATAACACGAACTGATATAATAATAGTTCAAATGCAATGATAAGTTACCTCTTGAATTACATCTCAGAAACTGTGTTGGAAATGTAAATGCTGACCCATTCCATAAGATTACCGTTTTATATCGTTGTATAAAACATTTTGATGTATAAAACATTTTGATGGCATGTAAGGAATTATTTCTCATCCCAGAGACATAGCCCAATGACTTAACATTGACGTCCTTGTGATTTTATAGAGATACAGCCAGAACTGAGGGTTTTACAAAGCGATATCGGTACCTTCCCAAAGTTGTAGACAAGATACAGTGTATGTTGCTTATGTCCAACGCGCTTAAAATTACATAACTCAAAATAAACCACGCAAAAAGGTCTTTTGTTCAATGTAGAGATTTTGTTCAATGTAGAGAACACAACGGCTGGAATCTGAGCCTATGTAGAGACTGGTTCATAGGAATTAGTTATTTTGAGTTATGCAATCGTGTCTCTTCATCCATCCGTGTCATTGAACAATGAAAAGAATTGTTGTGAAATTAGTGAAGATGAAATCGCAATTTGTGAGAAAACTGCGGGTCTACGGTGCGGGAGGTTTCCGGATTTGAACTCAGCGTGTTCGAAAGTGAAATCGTTTTATAGGCACTTTTCGAGGTCACAGCAAACGGCCTACTGCAGGACTAGATTTCAAGTCCCGCAATTCATCCGTCGAGGCGAAGCCGAGGACTGGATCAAAATGCGACGATTTGCATGTAATTCGCATCAAAATGCGAGGAATGCGAGGGAATTTTGATCCAGTCCTAGGACTGGATCTATATACTTCATCAGGTATCCAGTATTATCATGTGAGCAACATAGGCAATATGGTTGGCTTATAATTAATAATTCATGAGAATTATTAATGAGTTTGAGATATTTTCGTATTAAACTCAATACTTAATTACTGCAAGGTTACGCGCCAAAATTGGACTACCTCCACTTTTCAATTTGACTTAATTACCTTTCTTTCATACACGTATGTGTTGTTGTATTGTACTGCTATACAGTCTGATCTTTTTCGATAATTTTTGTGTGATTGTGCAGTCCACCAAGATCTCAGATTTCCTTTCTCATCAAACTGACTGCCTGGTTAAATTAACGATAAACAAATTTAAAAATAATATTTTTGAGGATAAATTTCCCCCGACTTCTGTTCATACTTAATTACAACTTCCGGTTTCAGTTTACAAAAGCATAGAAAAAAAAAGTAACATGATTAAGCTTTTAAGTAACTCATCTTTAAGAGGAGATTTTTTTCAATGTTACGTAACACGCGCTCAAAACTAATGCGTACAATATACCACTTGAGGTTATGACTAAATTCAAAATTTTTATTTTTCGATACGTTTCTCAATCGGCAACCAAACTTAAAAAGTATGTTTAGTGCTTTATTTATAAAATAATGCTAAAATGAAGAGATTTTAGATGATACGCCAAAGAGAAAATGATGTCTGAAGTTCAGTAAGTTTTGCTTATATGGCTGTAAATATGGCGTCAATTTTAAAGCATCATTGATAATTGTATTTTAATTAACAATTTTTAACTATTATTTTATGTTTCTCAACCGGCAGATGCATTTAAAAAGGTAGTTAACTCTATAAACTAGAGAATAAAGCTAAAACAAAGTAATTTTGAGCGGAACGCCAAAAAGATTTTAGGTTTTGAACACTTTTCATTGCAAATACGCAACATTGAAAAAAATTGCCTCTTAATATGTTCCAGTTTGCGACAGAATTTTCAGCCAATTCAAGAAAGGCTGTCCTTTGCAAACCGCTTAAACCTTAAACTCTAAACCCGCAAAGCTTAATGGAACACAAGTTTCAAGCTTAGTAGTTGAGTATTGCAGCTATTTGTGAATGAATTGTTTTCATAAGGAGATATTTACAATGCCTCCAAGAAATGGGCCCCATACATGTTTTCTAAACTGATTAAATATGTTCCCATTATGCTTTGCACGCTTAGAGTTTAAGGTTTGCAAAGCATGCAGCTGTTAATAGAACAAAGGTAACTAATCATTAGATAACTCATATGCATGCCTACTATATAGGAACTATATAGGTAGTTTTCATCACAGTTTAATGCGCGTGGTGAGCATTTTTATTTAATTTTAAACAAACCCACCTATCATTCTAAGCTAGGCTCTAGCTGTAAATACGCTTAGCGATTGACATGTCAATACATTTACGGGTGTAGCGGGCGAAACAAAGAAACCAGAAAATGGGGGAAATAAGAAACGGGAGTAAACAAAAGAGCAAGAAAACAATATAGTAAGAAAAACGATACTGCGCACAAAAGAACAAACACATAAAATAATAATTACTTAAAATATCATTAATAATTCATAAACCATGTAGCAAATCATGTCAGCCATAACACATCACGTGGAGTGACTTTATATCTAATAAAACTCATCTTCATTAGTATTCTTTATATAATTGTTCATCCTAATTAGTATGACTATACAATTGTTCATCCTAATTAGTATTCTTTTGTAGTCGTATTTTAAACTATTTCTCGCTTCGCGGTTTGATATCTGATAAAACACTCCTACTCGTGTTTTAAACAGTGCTTATACGTATTTGTTATGTTAATTGTATTATATTAATTGAAAATACAAACATGTGGCAATCCCACGCAATTTCTAACCGAGACATACTTCCAAAAGCTATTTGGGTATGAAGTAATTCATTTTAATGCGTTGGAGTCATGGTAACACGCAACAGTATCATATATACTTCTTAATTTTTGTATTTTTAGGCAAAAACAACCAATCAGGTTCTTAGAGACAGTTAGCTACTACAAACAGTTGATTAGCGGTTTATAATTGTAAACGCACAAAAAGTATACAACAACAACATACAAAAAAATTATTTAAGCACGCTGGCCTCAACAACTAGGAGCTGATTTCCATGAGGGGCGTGATTTGGAGAAATATACAGTACAGGTAAACATTAAAAATACAAAAACAAAGAAAGAAGAATTACATATACAGTAGGCAACAGGACGAGCCAATTTTAAGTGTTTGCCTGATTAATAGTTCTTTGAAAAGAACTTAAAGATTCCGCTACTTTTACCTCATACGGTAAATTATTCCATACTACCGCTCCGTTATATTTGAAGCATCTTTTACCAGAATCGGTATTCGGTTTAGGAAGAGACAAATCGGTTTCTCTATTTCTAAGATCATAGGTATTGTCACATTCATTATTCAATCGAAAGGATGTTCTTAGATTTGGTGCGGTGTGGTTATTCAGAATTTTATACATAAAAACAGATTTTAGATAAGTTCGCCTTAGTTCTAGGTGTTTCCAACCCAGGCTTTCAAGTAAATCAACCGACCGAACATCGTAAGTCGCACTAGAAATTACTCTTGCAGCCCGATTTTGAAATTTCTGCAACCTGTCCTTGAGGCCTATTCCACAGTTGTCCCAGTTGTATGGGCGTGTTCGTCAACATTTTTGGGGTGAATGCGATACATCTGTAATAACAATCGGATTCCTTACGCTAATTTGATTTACATCAGGGTTAGGACTCGAGATAGACCCTGAATTACTCTGTTTAATTTTTCTTACAAATCTACCTTATATCAAGTGCAATTTGGCAGAATAATCCATGTTAAAATTGTTCACGTTGCGAAGTGGTGTATAAATCTACTTTTTTCATAATTCAATGAAGATTATTATTCATTTAAAAAATATCCGGTAATTCTGATTGACTAACAGCCAACAGCGAAATCGTCATATCAACTCAATAGCTCTCAATAGCAGGCGACCACACATGAATATTTGACATAGATTATACAGAGTGACGTCATAATGTTGATATGAAAAAATATGTTAAACTCTCTGACGATGTGTTACGCCCCTGTTACGAATACGAAATGTGGAAATTGATTGAAGGAATGAAATTTTAATGAAGATGAAATATCAACGAAAACAGCAACGAAAGGTTTAAATTTTGAAACATCTTAATTGAAGTACATATGAAGGAAAAAGGACAATACTTTCTGCAAATGGAAAAAAGAACTGATCATTATTTGATTATTTCTCAATTATTGGATTCGGTTTCGTATGATATAAAGAATTATCAAGGGACTCAGTTTGTGGAACTGAAGGCCAAACAAACTAAATAATTGATAATAATAACTATTTAGTTCATTGGATTAATAACAAATAAATAAAAGCGTACCAGAGACATCAAATCCATGTGTGATTTCATGACCAATTATTACTCCCAAAGCACCATAATTTAATGCCCTGAAAAATAAACATTTATTTAAAGATGATGTCCACTCCTGTGCACATGCGCGAACTTTGTAAAATACGACATCACAGAATAAAGATCCATATACAGAAGGGCCTCGCGCATGTCGCATTACGCATGTTGGCCGCCATTTTCCTAGCCAGCCAGCCAGCCAATGACATTTTCTTGGCAATAAACACGCTGTACTGGCTGGCTGCTCCGCCTTCTGGCCAGTAAACTGCACATTTTTGCATAAAAAAAAACGAGGACATATTGCATCGCTGAGTGGCCCTTCTGTTACCGATCTTTATTCTGTGTACAATATACTAACTGAATATCTAACACTTTTCTGGCTCCATGTCTTCTGGATTGTCTATGATGAAAGTTTCACTATCTATTACGAGTCAATCGACTTCCGGTTGGCGTCCGTGTTGTCAAAAACGTGGCTTGCTTAAGTTTCCTATTATAACTGTACATTGCAGAAATAGACGTTTGACAAGATAGCTTCATAATCTCGTACCGGACCTTTTTCACGCGGTTTCTTTAAATTAAGTACTTTTTCAGAATTGTGTTGAAATATCGTTGAAAAGCCGTCGAAATGTCTAGAGAAACACCTTGTTCGAAGCAACCGTGTTCCCAGGGTCTCTCCTGGTTGTGTTCGAAGTTGCTATATACGTATGTTGTAACATTATTACAGATTTCGTTTTGTTATGCTGTTTGTTGTCCTATGTATATATTAATTTCAGAGTGTCTTAATTAAAGCCGGTTTTCCACTAGGCGGAATTTTGCTCTTTCTTGCTCTTTTTGCTCTTTGTCTTTTCTAATTAGTTCCACCCGAGTTATCACAAGAGAAAGAAAAATTCCGCTCCGCGCGCAAAATTCCGCCTAATGGAAAACCGGCTTAATGTCCAAAATATGAGCTCGCAAAGCAGATCTGGAAAATGTGTTTAAATCCAAAATTTACTTTTCAAACACGCGTAGACCGTACATTACGCCAAATTTGAACATTAAGCAACACTTCACAATTTGCGACGACAAAAAAAAGTGTGCAGTGGCGAGCGAGCCAAAGAAACAGGCCATGCTATGCACAGTGGCGTAACGGAGGAAGACGGGGCCCGAAGGCATATTTGGTGTGGGGGCCGCTGTTGACTGTTGTCATTGTTTGACTGAGATATTATATTTATATTGAATATTTATAGAATGTTCTGGACAATCCCGTGTCTATATATAACAACAATAACAGTCTCCAAAACATGTAACAACTAATA